ATATATGTATGTATGCATCTGTCTGTCTAACCTAGGAATTGATGCTATTATTTTCCCAGTTTTGCTAATGAAGAAACCGAGGTTTTCAGAAAATGAAATACCTTCTCAACCAATTAGCAGTGATAGGTTCTGACACCAGGTTTGTCTGAGTACAAAGCCAAGGTTCTTAATCTCTAAAATATTTCTGGATAGTTTAAATGGAGAAAATTTTGTAAGTATGGTATTTCAAATTTAGTCCCATCCTCTTGCATATAAGGGCTTCCCTAGTAGCTCAGCTGATAAAGAATTCACCTGTAATGCAGGAGACCGTAGTTCAGTTCCTGGGTCTGGAAGATCCCCTAAAGAAAGGATAGGCTACCCACTCTAGAACTCTTAGATTACATTGGTTGTTCAACTGGTAAAGGATCCGCCTGCATGCAGGAGACCTGGTTCAATCCCTGTGTTGGGAAGATGCCCTGGAGAAGGGAAAAGCTTTCCACACCAGTATTCTGGCCTGGAGAATTCCATGGACTATAAACTCCATGGGGTCACAAAGAGTTAGACATGACTGAGCACCTTTCACTTTCACTTTTCTTTCATATAAAGATAAATTGACCTCTTCTACCAAATTCACTCTGTGTCTTTCAATTTTGGTTCATACTGACTTTATAAAAATTATTTCTATTATCTTTTTAAAAGTTTCTCTTCAATTTCAAGAAATTTCTTTGTAGTTTTTTTCTTTATTGCACTTTTTTCACATTTGCCTTTCCACACTACTTCATTTATAATATACATCTGTGATGTTCTTTTACTTCGTATAATTTTAAGTTTCCAATTCCAAATAACAAGTAAAGCAGAGCTAAATTATAAGCTGTGTGGGTTTCTATCACTGTGTGAAAGGCATGTCATTTCTGTATTTTTACTTTCAAGCAACACAGATTGAACTATTCCTAATCAAAAGACTTCCTGTTCTTTCATATCTATTTTTGCATCTTTTCTGACACACTCTTGACATTCTTTTCCTAATGCCATTAACCTTGACTTTGTTCTCTACCTGTTGCATAAGAACTTAGATATTCATGGCCAGCTAGAACATTCTTAGTATGAAATATCAGAATGAAGATAATAAAAAAATTATAAAAGGTAATTTTTGCCATAATGTAATATTGAGAATACAAATGGTTATTTCATTACTCAATAAATCTGAAATCATAATGGCAACAATGTCAAAATAGTACCAAAAAAAAAAAAAAAAACGGTAAAATAAGAGAGAAAACAAAAAATACTATATTTAATCTAACCTTGAAAGCTTTAAATCTCCTAAGGACTCAATATTTTGCCTACAAGTCCTTACAAACTTTGATGAAGATGAACTATTCTTCATAAAACAGTGATTTTATAGCATTTTGTTTGTAGTGTACATTGTGGTAATCTCCCCTCCAATCCTCCTACCTCATTCCCTTGTATTGCTGCCAGTAATCACAACTCCACAGAGGTGATACATCACTGTTGAACCCAATTAGAGTAATCCTATTTTTCTTGCATAATGGATCCCATGGCAAAATGACTGGATCAACAATGAACATGTGACACAATTAAGCCCAGTGAGATCTAAGGACAAGGTAATTGAGGAATTCTGGAGGAGCCACTTCTTGTCCTTCTTAGAAAAAGAGAAAGTTTTCAGAAGCCAAATATTTCTATTTTTGGAGGATGTGGAAGTGAACACTAAAATAGCTGTAGCCATCTGCCCCCGAGAGAAAGCCAGCCTCAGGAAAAGTTATTCCCACATAAAGCAAATAGAAACATACCAAGTCTAGCGCATGTCCTGAAATGCATTTTCCACTTAAGGTGAGCCAATCAAGCCTATTTCTTGTTAAGTCAGTTTGGATTGTGGTTTCTATTAATTAAAACACACACACACACACACAAAAAAAAAAAAAAAAACACACATAAGGTGGCTCAGACAGTTAACAATCTGCCCGCAACGTGGGAGACCTGGGTTTGATCCCTGGGTCAGGAAGATCCCCTGGGGAAGGAAATGGCAACTCACTCTAGTATTCCTGCCTGGAGAATTCCAGGGACAGAGGAGCCTGGTGGGCTATGGTCCATGGGGTCACACAGAGTCTGATACAACTGAGTGACTAACACTTTCACTTTTTCAGTGGGCCCTAATTGACATGTCAGCCTTTTTGTTTCTTAATTTACCTATTTTTTTTCAATAACATAGAAATATATACAGGTATTATTATAACCAAATTGTGAAATCAAATAATTTAGATCATATCTCAATATTAGATGCTTTAGAAAAAACTAATCTACAGGGTTGTTTTAGGAAAGTAGTAATATTGAACTTTGAGAGCCAAAGAAACCCTGAAAGGTTATGTGTAAAATCTTTGAAATATATAAAGCATACTAATAACAAAAGATAACCATTCCTCCTAAATTCTAATAGAGCAGAAAAGTGTTATTAAGTCCTTGACTCACTTGTATTATTTTTCTTTATTGTTAACCCAAGCTCTCCTCATTAAGCTCCCAGGGACTTGATACATAAAACTCTCCAACAGCATTATCTGTCTGATGTATGAAGTCAAACCCTGTTGTGTGACTCTCAAGACCTTGCATAATCTGAGTTCCTTCTGCTCCTCCTCTACCTACATGTGTCAGCACAATCCCACCTGCACCTGCAGCTCCAGACCCTTCACAGTTTGGCTGCTCCTCTCCTCCCCTTCTCCATATATTCCATCTTAGTTTTTGCTTCTGTGCTTTTTGGTCAAGCCCTCCTCTCCCTACTCCAAGATCAATACTCTTCTCTGTACATAAACTCTACCACAGGACTTGGTTCTTTGGCTCTGATTATACATCATTGTGCATTCACCTCTAAAGCTTCAGTTTTCTCTGTGATTAGGTTGTTAGATCCTTGAGAGCAAGAAATGAGACTGATATCTCTTGGAATTCACTAGAGCTTCAACTACTGTGTAGTTAAGTAGGTATTAAATGAGTGGGTGTTTGATCAATTGACCTTGTGCTTGCTATTTGTCTTACAGATTATTTCACGGATCTAGAAAAAGATTTTAAATATCTGGATTGCCTTAGAACTGCCAGATATAGCAAATAAATATACAGGATGGCCAGTTAAATTTTACTTTCAAATAAATAACAAATTATTTCATTTTAGCATAAGTACACCCAATGCAATATTTGGGGTATAATTATACTAAAAAATGACTTGTTTAGTAATTTAAAATTTAAATTTTACTGGATGTCCTTTATTTCATCTGGAAATCCTAAATGGACCAAACCTAAAAAAAAACCGCAAAACTTTGTGTTTAATTTCTTAAGTTAGAGCTAAATATCACAGTTATGAATTGTTTAACCTTATATAGATTTGCCAATCAAGTTCTATAGCACATGAAGTTCTCTGCATCATTTCCTCTAGCAGTGGCAACACATAAATGAGTATTCATTATGTAAAAGTCACCATGCATCCTCCTGTACAGGGAAGCAAAAATGAATAAGATGCTTCCTCTGCCCTCAAGTAATTTATAGCCTGGTGGAAGATACAGCTCATTTTAGTCTTATCCCTACTTATGTGCAATGTGGATGTTAATCCATATGGCCAAAATTCTTTTTGGCCTGATCCAGGCCTCCTGGGCAAAGATTCAAGATGACACTATACATTTAGGTTATCAGAAATGAAGAATATTTGCTTTGAAGTATATATTAAATACCTCCTGTCTCTGAAGAATTATATAAACACCATAATCCATCATCCCAAATGAAGATAATTTTCAAAAATTCTTTTAATTAGAATACTTTATTCTGCTTTTGAAAATTAAGTTAGCTTTTATGATGCAGGGCTTCTCTGATAGCTCAGTTGGTAAAGAATCTACCTGCAGTGCAGGACCCTGGTTTGACTCCTGGGTCAGGAAGATCCCCTGGAGAAGGGAAAGGCTACCCACTCCAATATTCTTTGGCTTCCCTTGTGGCTCAGCTGGTAAAGAATCTGCCTGCAATGTGGGAGACTTGGGTTCGATCCCCGGGTTGGGAAGATCCCCTGGAGAAGGGAAAGGCTACCCACTCCAGTATTCTGGCCTGGATATGTATGGACATGTATTCAGTCCATGGGGTCACAAAGAGTCAGAAATGACTGAGCAACTTTCACTTTGTGATGGAGATTTTTTTCTGGTTCTTAGATATTTAATATGCATTTAATATGCATTTTTTAGCATAAGCAATAGAAATGTATTGCATGACAGTTTTTCCCTCTGAGCTATCACATAAGTTCTTCACAGGTAGACGCCATGCAAACTACTTAATCCAAGTCATTTATTTAGGTTAACAATAGGATCCAATGATTTAGATTTTATCTTTCTGCTGTGTGACCTTGTCTGCTTTAGCTAATGTCTCCAATCTTTTCTGGTCATAGGCAGTGTGTGTTTATGTGTGTGCAAAATTTGATATTAGTTAAAATTTTTTAGTTATATGATATTTATAAGTTGTATACCATATAAACTCAGTGATATTTGTTATAATCAAAGATTTCAAATTCCAGAAACAACAGCATGTTTTCCATAACAGTATTCTTGATTTTTTGTGTGCTTGTGTACATATAAAAGCATTTCTTAGGCTTAACATATAATTCAAGGCTTTAAAACAATATTACCTTAACATACAACATACAAATTTTCAGTTCTGGAATAGAGAGTACCATATTTTCCCTTTCTTTTGTAAATATAAACATTTGATCTTAACTCATCATCTGTATTTTCTTGAAGAGATCTTAAATTAAAATAAAAATGCATATCCCATAAAGTAATGATTTCCATGGCTATTAACATATCACAAGAAGTTGCAAATGGAGTGGCATTAAAAGGTGATGAAACTATTGGGAAAAGTTATGCTAACTTGAATGATTTGTCAATTACTTAGATATAAGGCTATAGTTAGCATTATCATTATGCCAATTCTTTGGAGATATGAAATACTCATTTAAAGTATGTGTTTTAGGTTGTCAAAATTACCTTTGGTAGCTCTTCAATTTGATTGGCATCTAGGTAAAGCTCCTCCAATGTCCGTTCAAAGTTAAAAACCTCCTTTGGCACCTGCTGAAGGCTGCAGTGGGAGTAATCCAAAACTGAGATGATTTCTTCTTCACCTCGGAAACATCGGCACGGCACCAGACGGCCAATGATTTTCCGCTTGGTGGTCATCTCCAGGCACTGCACTAGAGAAAAACAGAAAAAAAAACCCAACTGCTTAACCACCAGCCTTGGAAGGCTTTCTTAAAATATTTAAAGCTTAGAAATTTAATTAGGATATATATTTTATAATTACATAATGCTTTAAAAAAGTTTACATAAGACATGAAATATGCATTATATCATTTAATCCGTAAACAGTTCTCAAAGGTATGTAAGACAGGTTTTTATTACCATTTAACAAATAAAGAAATGGATTCAGAAAGGGGCAGATAGTTCCCATTGTCACACAGGTTTGGAATGGCAGAACTGGACCAGAACACAATACTGACTTAGTGCAAGGCTTACACTTGCATTTGAATCTACAATATAGATTTTTAAAATTTTATACTAACTGCAGTACAGGATAGAAACCTCTAGATTTGTTGGAAAAATATATTTCCTTCATTTCTCCAAAATATTAATAGTCAAGTTTTACCCATAAGGTTTATGATATTTTCTTTTTGATTCAAATTTATTCCACTAATCAATAATTATCTATTGAATAGTTAATGTGCTCTAGACATTCAACTATGTACTGGGGAGAGAGAAATAAACTGAACAAACTCCCTGCTGGAGCTACAGCTGTATTGGTTATTCACTTCAGAATAAGAATCCGTACTTATGAATCCTTTTATTTTAATGGGAGGAAACAATCACAGCATGTCACGTCCTGACATGTCTTTCGCTAGATTAGCACCAACCAAATGCTATGAAAACTTGCATGAATCGGTATCATGGCATCTACAACAGTTCATTAAAGTTACTGTTTCTCATGTCATTTTTTCCTTAGACTCTAAGCCTCTTGAGGGTAGAAACTATCTTGTTCATTTTTACATTTGTCTTGGTGTTTGACATACAGTAGACAAACAATAACCAATGTAAACTAAACAAATCAATTCATGGATGAACAGATGGATACATTTGAGAGTCTGTCCCCAACTACCATCAGATACTGGTAAATAGCTTGAAAATCTTCTCATTCTAACTAAAAGGTCACTATCTCTGGAATGTCTCAAGATAAACGAATAGCATCTTCCCCGGAGCTACCAGGCACTAATCTCATCGCTTCCTAATTACTATTTCCCCATGTACTAGGTGGGAGGAGAGGACCTTGTCTTTTTCATCTTTGAATTCATAGTAATAGTATAGTTTGCCATCTGCAGAAACAGTATTGAATGAGCATCAATTTGAAACTTGCATTTATTCACTGATTTATTTTTACTTATCAACATAAACCTATTGCAGAAAAAGAAAGTTGCAATAGTTGACAAAAACAATGCAGTATTTTGTTTTGAAATGGCTTAGATTAAATCAAATTTGGAAGCAAATGAATACAATATGCTTAAGAGATGGTGAAAGTTCAGCCCAAAGCCACCTTTATTCTCCCTTTAACTTATGAAATTTATAAAATTATATTTTGGGACAGGTTCATGAGTCAGCTCTTACATATGGTTATTTGTACATGGCAATTTGTAGAAGGTTTATCTAAAAACATTAAAAGATGACCTTTCTTCTCCATTAGTTTCTAGCTCTCAAAATCCTACATTTCTTATTTCTGGGAGCTTGAATCACAAGGTTTTGGAATTATTATTTTACCTGACCTTAATTGAAAGCCCTGATTACAGGCTGATCTCTACACAGGATCTAGCACATATTAATAGCCAGTAAATGCATCTAATTTCTCACACATACCAAACATTTGCTAGGTGCCTAGTATATCTGACATATACTAGGCACCTAGCAAATGTTTGTTGAGGTTATTGTAGTTGTAAAAGGTAAGTGATGATGGCTCAGACTATGAGAGTAGCAGTAAGAATAGGAAGAAGTGATGGACTGGCAAGGTATTTAAGAAGCAGAATCCCTAGTGTGCGTGATGGATTAAATGAGAGGTGGAAAGGGTACTGTAGAGAGAAGTCTTGAAAAATTCCCAAGTTTTTAATTTTAGTCTCTAGTAACCACATGACTACTCAGCTCTGATGCCATAAAGCAGACTCAAGGCATTTATCCTGTCTCTATGATTCACGGCTGATGAATCAATTGCTCATACATTGTTTTTACCCAGTACCATACACTCACCCTTTTGTGCCAAACCATGTGGCTATTTCTTGATACCCATCTGTTGCTTCAACTGCAGTTTTTTTATTATGAAGAGAAAAAAGAGAATATCCAAGCCTGTACCTGAAACATTTAGTCAGAGTGTTCACCATCCAGGAAGACTTTTGCAATTTAATGCAATTTTAGCACTGCTTTCCCTTTCATTGAAAGCATTGTTCCTCTGATAATCTCACTGCCTGCCAGTAACCTCTTTCTTTAATTCAGTTCAGTTCAGTCACTCAGTCATATTCAACTCTTTGTGACCCCACAGACTGCAGCATACCAGGCTTCCCTGTCCATCACCAACTCCTGAAACTTGCTCAAACTCATGTCCATTGAGTCAGTGATGCATCTAACCATCTCATCCTCTGTCGTCCCCTTCTCCTCTTGCCTTCAATCTTGCCCAGCATCAGAGTCTTTTCTAATGAGTTCATTCTGCACAACAGGTGGCCAAAGTATTGGAGCTTCAGTTTCAGCATCAGTCATACCAACAAATATTCTGTGGTGATATCTTTAAGGATTGACTAGGTTTGCTGTCTCTCTTTGCTATCAAAGGGACTCTCAAACGTCTTCTCCAACACCACAGTTCAAAAGCATCAATTCTTCAGTGCTCAGCTTTCATTATGGTCCAACTCTTGCATCCATACATGACTACTGGAAAAACCATAGCTTTGACTTGATGGACATTTGTAGGCAAAGTAATGTCTCTGCTTTTTAATATGCTGTCTAGGTTTGTCATAGCTTTTCTTCCAAGGAACAAGTGTCTTTTAATTTTGTGGCTGCACTCACCATCTGCAGTGACTTTGAAGCCCAAGAAAATAAAGTCTGTCACTCTTTCCACCATTTCCCCATCTATCTGCCATGAAGTGAGGGGACTGGATGCCATGATCTTCATTTTATAAATGCTGAGTTTGAAGCCAGGCTTTTCAGTCTTCTCTTTCACTTTCATCAGGAGGCTCTTTAGTTTTTCTTCTCTTTCTGCCATAAGGGTAATGTCATCTACATATCTGAGGTTATTGATATTTCTCCTAGCAATCTTGATTCCAGCTTGTGCTTCATCCAGTCCAGCATTTCACATGATGTACTCTGCATATAAGTTAAATAATCAGGGTGATAGTAAACAGCCTTGACATACTCCTTTCCCAATTTGGAACCAGTCCACTGTTCCACGTCCAGTTCTAACTATTGCTTCTTGACTTGCATACGGGTTTCACAGGAGGCAGGTAAGGTGGTCTGGCATTCCCACCACTTTAAGAATTTTCCAAAGTTTATTGTGATCCACACATTCAAAGGCTTTAACATAGTCAAGAAGCAGAAGTAGACGTTTATCTGAAATTCTCTTGCTTTTCTATGATCCAACAGATGTTGCAATTTGATCTCTGGCTCCTCTGCCTTTTCTAAATCCAGCTTGAACATCTGAAGTTCTCATACTGTTGAAGCCTAGCTTGGAGAATTTTGAGCAGTACTTTGCTAGCACGTGAGATGAGTGCAATTGTGCAGTAGTTTGAGCATCCTTTGGCATTGCCTTTCTTTGGCAATGAGAACTGACCTTTTCCATTCTGTGACCACTGCTGAGTTATCCAAATTTGCTGGCATATTGAGTACAGCACTTTAAAAGCATCATCTTTTAGGATTTGAAATAGCTCAGCTATAACTTTATCACCTCCACTAGCTTTGTTTGTAGTGATGCTTCCTAAGACCCACTTGACTTTGCACTCCAGGATGTCTGGATCAAGGTGAGTGATCACACTATCATGGTTATCTGAGTCATTAAGATCTTTGCGTAGCTTTTCTGTGTATTCTTGATACCTCTTTGAGATATCTTCTGCTTCTGTTAAACCCATACCGTTTCTGTCCTTTATTGTACCCATCTTTGCCTGAAATGTTCCCTTGGCATCTCTAATTTTCTTGAAGAGATCTCTAGTCTTTCCCATTCTATTATTTTCCTCTATTTCCTTTGCACTGATCACTTAGGAAGACTTTCTTATCTCTCCTTGCTATTCTTGGGAAATCTGTGTAGAGGTGGATATATCTTTCCTTTTCTCCTTTGCTTTCCTTCTCTTCTTTTCTCAGCTATTTGAAAGGCCTCTTCACACAACCATTTGACTTTCTTTTTCGTGGGTAAGGTTCTGTTCTTTCTCATTTCAGTTCACTACCTCTAGAACCCATTGATGACTTGGTTTCTAATTTATGGATTATCTCTCCATTGTAATTCCTTCCATTCCTGATTCATACTCCTTAGACATAATAGCTTTCAACTTTTTCCACCCTGTTTCTAAGAAACTTAATTGTAGTGCTACTCCATGATTTTTCCCTTACAGATTTTTGCTATATAACATGGTGGTTTACCTTTTCTAACAAATTCTCACACACTTATAACCAACCAAAATATATATAGCAATTTTGTTTTAAATTAATAAAACATTTTACTATAGCTATAAATATCACTATAATTCAATTACATTTGATTTCTTCTGCATCTCATTTCTTTAAAAATTGCTTTATGTTTTTCTTTTCTTTTTTTAATGTATCTTTCACTCATTCAAGTTGCTGGCTATCTCCTCTTCTCTTAGTAGTGAGAAGCATGTATTCTGTCATTTACCCCCAGGATGACCTTTCAGGAGCATTCTACCTTCCTGCTTCTGTCTGGAGTGGTTCCTTTTCTAGATCTTATACACACGCACATACACACACACACACACACACACGTGTCTGTGTATGTCTGTGCATGTGCATGTGTGTCTGTGTATCTGCATGTGTGCGTTTGATCCTGGAATATCTCATTATTGTCATTCTGTAAATTTTACATTTCTTTCTTCTGTTTTATTCCTATTTCCTGGACCCCATGTCTTTCTCTTTCTAGACTTACTGAACTATAACATCCAACAAT